CTCCCTGGAGACTCGGAGGAGGGACGCCGGCTGGCTTGCCAGCTGGTGGAGCGCCGCCGGGCGCGGGGACCGCCCGCTGGACCCTTGGCCGGGGTGCAGGTCTTCGAGTGGCGTGCGACCCTCTCCCCCTACTGCCGGGTGGCCGGAGAGAGTGGGGCACGGATCGGAGCCGCCACCCCCAATCCCGGTTCAGCCGTGAGCCACCCCTGGTGGGAGGTCCACCAGAATCGACTCGTGGCCGACCGGGCCGGGCGGGCCAGGACCGCGGTGAAGGAGACTTGGGTCACCTGCTCCAGTGGCGGCGACCTCACCGGCCGAGAGGCCCTCTACTTCGTGCGGTACGCGCTCTCCCACGCCGCCACCTTCGTCGTGCTGGGCTGACCCCTGGACCAGGATCTGGGGGGAGCCCGCGAGGTCTTGCAGGGGGGTGGGTACGACACTGCGGAGAGCGTGGTGCACACCCACCTCCTTGGGGACCGGTGCGCCAGGTCGCGCCGCCTCCTCCTTGCCTGGAGAGACGGGGGGAACTGGGGGAGCGCCGCGCTCGCACTCCTGCGGCGGGGCGAGCGATTGGTCCCACTGAACCTCAGCAGCGCCCTGTTGACGCCCGAGGCGGTCCCTCCGGAGCTCTACATGCGGGAGGAGGAGGGGAGGGCCCACTGGCGCCACTTCAAGGTCCGTGAGAGGGCCGACCGCGGGGAGGGAGGGCGCCCCACCGCCCTCCAGGCGGCCGGGACCTGGAAGAGCACCCGGGAGTCGGAGGGGGACGTCAGGGTCATCCTTAGCCCGATGAGCAGCGGGCCCGACTACCCACTCTGGCACCCTGACCCAGAGGACTTAAACTTGCTAGGCTAGCCCTCAGAAAACGCAAGTCTTAGCGCAACACTCAGTTCCTAGCGTAGGACTGCAAGTCCTAGCGCAGCACTTGAACGGTTAACCTAGAACTTACTTGAGCGCAAACACAAATACATGTGCAAAAACAATACAAATCACATAGGGTATTATAAAGTTAACACGTACGCACGCGCATTTTCAACCCACACATATACACCTACGCATAGCATAGAGGGGACACACATACGATATCAAACATGAACACGCACGCACGCAGACGCACACACGCATACACGCGCGAACAAGAGGGAGGAAAGGAGGAGGCGGACGAGAAAAAAGAGAACAAAGATGATGACGAGGACGGGGCCGTGGACGATGGCAGAAATTCCTCCTCCGAGGATCGTGTGCGCCGAACGTCGACGACGACGAGCGTGACGGACGACAACGGAGACGACGACGACGGACGACGGACGACGGACGAAGGACGACGGACGACGGAGACGACGACGACGACGACGACGACGACGGACGACGGCGACGACGACTACGGACGACGGAAGGCGGACGACGGACGACGAACGACGGACGACGGACGTCCGACGACGACGACCGACGACCGACGACGACGACGACGAGTGACAAAGACGACGACCGCCAGCGGCGACGACGACCACGACGATGACCACGACCACGACCACGACGACGACGACGACGACAACGACAACGACAACGACAACGACAACGACGACACCGACGTCGACGACGACCGCGACGGACCAAGACGACGACGACGACGACCACCACGACGACGACCACGACAACGAGGACGGATGCGAGGAGAAGAATGAGAAGAAGGCGGATAAGGACATAAATATAAGAAATTGCAGGGAGGATAAGGATAGGATAAGGATAAGGAGATGATAACAGAGATAGGGATCATGGCATGGTTAAGGTGAAGGATACACAAAGGAGGAAGAAGAGGAGGAGGAGGAGAAGCAGGGTCGTGCAACAGGGCAGTATGTCTGGGATCAGTTCCGACCTGAAGGTGTCCCCCCTCACCCGATCCCAGCGGGATCTGTGGGTCGCGCGCGGGTGGGCCGTCATGATGCCCCCGCGCGAGCAGCCCTCGGCGCCCACGGTGGTTTCCCCCCTCTCCTCCTCTTCCTCCTCCGCCCCCTCTCCTCCTCTTACTTCTCCTCGTCCTCCTCCTCCTCCTCCTCCTCCTCCTCCTCCTACGCCTCCGCCTCCACCTCCTCCTATTTGTCCATCTTGTTCCGCCTCCTCTTCTTCCTTCCTCCTCCTCCTCCTCCTCCTCCTCCTCCCTCCTCCTCCTTCTCCTCCTCCTCCTCCTCCTCCTCCGCCTTCCTCCTCGGGATCCTCCTTCCTCGTCCTCCATCCGTCCTCTTCCGCCCCTGGTGGAGCCGCAGCCGCCCCCGGTCGAGACGCCGCCCGAAGTCGGCGGGCAGGCGGAGGCCATGGCGGATGGGGGCGTGCAGAACGACAGCTGGCAGACCGTCGTCGAGAGCCTCAGCAGGCACCCCGACAACGTAGGCCTGCCGATGCATGGGATGCCGCCCGTAGGCGACGCGGGGGTGGTGCCAGAATGCAGTCGAATTACAGTCAACCCGCATATAGTAAGGATGGGGAACCTTCCCAAGGGCACCCATGCATCCTTGCCCCTTCGGCCCATCCTTAGCGACTCTCGCTGGTCAACCTCGCATCATAAAAAGGCGACCGTGGCCCTCCAAGGCCCTTGCATCCTTACCGCGCATCCTTCCTCCATCCACCTCATCTTCCGCCTCGCCTCACTCCGTCTCTTCTCTCTCTCTCTCTCTCTCTCTCTCTCTCTCTCTCTCTCTCTCTCTCTCTCTCTCTCTCTCTCTCTCTCTCCCACTCCCAGTCACTCCTAGCTCATCCAACTAACTCATCATCATCCACCTCGCCCACTTCCTCGCTGTCCCCCTCATCATCGCCCTCCCCATCTTCGCCACGGGCATCGGGCAACGGATCGGGCCGAGCGCCTCGCCGAGAGCTCTCCAGGGGCCGCCATGCAATCGTCCTCACCCCACAAACCACAAACCCCCCAAAACTACACAAGATATAGGGTCAACCCGTACAGTAGGAGGAAGAGGAGGAGGAGGAGGAGGAGGAGGAGAAGGAGGAGGAGGAGGATGACAAATCAGGATGACAGCCCCTCACACTAATCATCCATCGGGCCACCGTTGTAGTCACATCCCTTCGGTCGTAGCTGTTTTGGTGCAGCTCGGCGGCCGTGGGATGTCCTCCGACGCCGCCGCGGGTCGCGAGCGGGAGCGATGCCTCGACGCGGACTCGCTCTGTCAGGCCCTCGCCCCGTTCGTGAACGAACGCGAGTGGATATCGTGCGGCCAGGCCCCTGGCAAAGACAAGTTTACGGGTGCCTGCATCGGTGAGATCTTGAAGCAGTCCGAGGCACCCTGGGGGTGATGATGATGGCGACGGCGGATGTTGAGAGGGATGGCGACGATAAGGATGAGGACGATGAGGATTTGAAACTGAGAGGCGGCTGAGGAGGATACGGCCGATGAGGGGGAAGGAGGGAGACGGTGGAGAGGGAGGCGTGCAACGAGGATGGTCATGACGAGGATGATGATGCTGATGATGGTGATGCTGGCGATGATGATGATGCTGTCGATGATGTGGATGATGGTAATGATACGGATGATGTTTATTATGATGATGAGGATGGTGATACGGATGATGATGCTGGTGATGATGATGGTGATGGTGATGGTGGTGTTGATGATGGTGATTGTGATGATGATGGCGATAACGACGACGATGATGATGATGATGATGTTGATGATGATGATGATGATGATGATAATGCTGGTGAAAGGGGCAGGGCTTCGCGGCTTCCCCAGTGGGCTGCGAAGCGCGAAACTGTCGCCACGTTCGTCGAAACCGAGAGAGGGATAAGCATGAGAAAAAGAAAGAGAGAGAGAGAGAGAGAGAGAGAGAGAGAGAGAGAGAGAGAGAGAGAGAGAGAGAGAGAGAGAGAGAGAGAGAGAGAGAGAGAGAGGAGAGAGAGAGAGAGAGAGAGAGAGAGAGAGAGAGAGAGAGAGAGAGAGAGAGAGAGAGAGAGAGAGAGAGAGAGAGAGAGAGAGAGAGAGAGAGAGAGAGAGAGAGAGAGAGAGAGCGAGAGAGAGCGAGAGAGAGCCCGACGAGGCCCTGGCTGCCCTCGAGACGATCTCGCCGAACCTCGCCCTCGGCCCCGACGCCACCAAGCAGTGTTTCCTCAAGATCGCTGGCAGCAAGATCGCGTGGAAGATGACCGACAGCCAGAAGGAGGAGTGGGCCGACAGGAATAGCAGAATGTATCGTGGGTTGAAACCAGCTCGGCACCGCATCGCGTGTGATCTGTCCGTGAGCAGTCGGCTCTCGAGCGACGCATCGGCACTGCATCGGCAAATTGTGTGATCAGCATGTGATCTATCCGCGATGCATCGGTGAGCCATCGGTGAGCCATCGGTGAACGAGCGGTGAGCCCTGGCGAGCACCCACACGTGGCCCCCCCCCCCCCCCGGGAAACGCTGATGACTGATGTGTTGTATCGGTGAGCCATCGGTGAGCCATCGGTGAGCCATCGGTGAGCCATCGGTGAGCCATCGGTGAACGAGCGGTGAGCCCTGGCGAGCACCCACACGTGGCACCCCCCCGGGAAACGCTGATGACTGATGTGTTGTATCGGTGAGCCATCGGTGAGCCATCGGTGAGCCATCGGTGAGCTATCGGTGATCCATCGGTGAGCCATCGGTGAGCCATCGGTGAGCCATCGGTGAGCGATCGGTGATCACCCACACGTGTTACCAACTCCCCGGGGAACACAGATGACTGAGGTGGAATGAAGGTAGATGGGGCGTGCCGTGAGGTGGAGGTGTGATGGCGATGATGCGGAAGCTGATGCACTGTGGAGGTGCGGGGGGGACGAGGAGGATGAGAGGGGTGATGCAATCATTCGTGTGCGCACCCCAGGTTGCGATCGATGTGCCGCCACATGTACGATCCACTTCGGAAAGAACGCGCCGACAGTGTACCTCCTCGATGGCTACAGAAGCTGCGGGCTAACCAGGCGGCCAAGGCGAGCTCGACAGATGGCGGCGCACCTGTGAAGAAACGCCCTGCAGGATCAGATAGCGGCAGTGCAGCTTCGACGCGAGTAGAGCGCGGCTTCGACCCGACCACGCAGCTCGCGTGGAGACGGCTGCCGCGCCAGAAGGTCCCCGACACCACGAGCGACGTGTTCGAGCCCACGGACTCGCGGCCCACGCACAGGATGTTGGCGAGATTCTCCGACGGTGAAGTCCTGCAGCTCGATGACCTGACAGTTGCAGCGTGGACTGGCATCCAGAAGCAGAAGACCTCGGCCGCGCGGAAGACTAACCAGATGTGGGGGGACACGGACAGTGCGGGCGTGAGGTACCAGGTCGAAAAAAAAGCTCCTCGGCTCGGGCAACCCTGGCGTGGCCATCAAAGTTTCTGGCAGCCAGCGCGTGCAGCTGGCGTTCAAGCACTAGGGCGAGTCCACCGCGATCGAGACGGCCAAGGGCTGGGCGCGCAAGCTGATGGATGGCACGGAGACCGTGGCTTCGATCAAGGCGATGAAGGCTGCGAAGGAGCAGGTGCTGCTGGGCGTACAGAGGAAGCCGTCTTCTGCCGACGGCGGCGCACACGACGACGCCAGTGGTTATGAGGACGGTGACGGTGGCAAAGGTGAGGCTGATGATGAGGAAGCCGCTGAGGCTGAGGAAGCGGAGGACGGCGAAGCAGCCGAAGGCGATGGCGAGAACAACGAGGTGGGCGCTGACCAGGAAGGCGACGCAGAGGATGAGGAGAAGGAGGAGGAGGAGGACGAGGAAGAGGCGGAGAGTGAAGACGCTGAGGAGGACGGCGGTGAAGAGGAAGAAGAAGAAGAATATGGAGAAGAGGACGAGGAGGAAGAGGAGGAATAGGACGAGGAAGCAGAGGTCAAGAGAAGGCCAGCCAGCAAGATGAGCGGCGCTGTTGCCAAGCGCCCTGCCTCGGCGGAGCCGCCGATGACGAGGAAGTTCAAGAAGAGAAAGTTGGGGAAGAAGCCGCCTCCCCAGCTCCCAGCACCGTGCGCAGGATCCCTTGCATCATTCTCGATGCGTGTATGCTCGTCTGAGCGTGCCGCCGTCGCTGTGCTCCGCTCGCCCAGCTAATGTACGTGTTAATGCACGTGCGATGCCGCCGCTCTGTGAGGCGGAGTGGGAGAGGGACGCGGGGGAGATAGAGTGAATGGGATGAGGATGGCAAGATGGGGTGTGGTGGGAGGGGTGTGCATGGGCATGGGACGGGGAGGGTGCATTCATTTCGCTAATCGCGCTGAAGCCGCACTGTGTGCTGCTGCGGGGCTCGCAGGCTCTCGAGTGGACGTCGGTGAGACCCCTGTGTGTCGCTGTCATCACCGCCAACCCCCGCCCTCTCAGACTCGGTACTCCCAACGTGCATCTTGGGGTCCATCATCCTGCTACTGGTCCTTGCGAGTCGACGCCACCCTCACCCTTACTACTCCTACCCCTCCTCCTCCTCCTCCTCCTCCTCCTCGTCCTCATTCTCCTTATCCGCCTCCTCCTCCTCCTCATCCTTCTCATCGCCCCCTGACCCTATGTCGCCCCTGGTCGGGTCCAGGTGATGCCCAGCCGTTCCTTGTCACACGTGACCCTAACGCTTGACGTTCGCTGCAATGTCATGGATGGAGGGCGGATCGGTCTCAAACGGTTGCTCTCGCCTTCGCGCCGCGCACGTTCGCCCTGCAGTTGCGCGCGTTACACGGATGGTGAGGCAAGACGTCGAACAGCTGATGGGCAGGGTGTGCGTCTGAGAGGCATTGGGGCAATCTGTCGATCTGCTCTCCCCCCCTTTGCCGCATGCGCTCGGCAGGCGAGTGCGCCCCCGAGCAGCTCGCGGAGCTCGCCAGGATGGCGGCGAAGCTGAAGGAGGACCTGAACAAGATCGCCGAGTGCGAGGCCAGCGAGAAGTTGGCACATCAGATGAGCGATGCCGCTGCGACATTGCACGAGACCGACGACTCCGTGCTCGAAGCGCCCCTGGACGGACAGTCTCTGGGCGATGGTGGTCCTGGTGCGGATCCCGCTGCATCTGACTCCGACGCCATGCCCACCCACTACCGCGACCAGTCGGGCCGCTGGATCAAGCTCGGCAGCAAGATGGCGCCAGTCGGCAGCAGCTGTGACGTATCGGGCACTTGCAGAGGGAAGGGCTACACGTGCGCCGTCGACGACAGCTCCGACGACGCGCCCCTGGCCAACTTCAACAGCTCCGACGGCGGCAAGGGGATGGTGACGAACGCAACGAGCCAGATGCTGCAGCTCGCGGTGAGGTTGGGGAAGGGCGGCGGGAAGAACGTCGGGAAGAAGGGCGGCTTGCTCGACCAGACCCGCAGCAACGCCATGATCGCGGCCGCCCTCGGCATGCCAGCCGCATCGCCGCCGACCGAGGAGGCAGAAGGCAAGGGCGAGGAGGCAGCTGAGGTCAAGGCCCTGAGCAGGGAGAAGAAGAAGACGAAGAAGAAGAAGAAGATGAAGATGAGGGCGGCACGGCATCAAGGAGGCATCGAGAAAGCATGTGAGGTCGAGGTCGACGAGGTGCACGACGCAGCTGAGGTCGAAGCCCCGATGAAGAAGAGGAAGAAGACGGCGTCGCAGCGCCGAGGAGGCGCCGAGGCAGACAGCAAGGATGACATCGGCGAGGTGGTCGTCGTCGAGCTCCCCGAGCAGACGGCCGACGTGCCCGTCGTCGAGGAGGTGAGCGACGAGCTGACGAAGCAGACGAAGAAGAAGAAGAAGAAGAAGAAGAGGCGCCGCGGGGCCGCTGCTGATGGCGAACCCGCTTCGAAGGTGACGAAGGACAGCGAGGCGGCTGTGCCCTCGGCGCTCATCACGGATGACACCGCCAACGTGCTCGCCGAGGGCGGCAACGACGGTGCGACGACGCCGCTGCCGCGCGGGACCACGGGTTGTAAGCATCCCGCGCCCTCCAGCACCATCCCTCGTCATATCGGATGCGGGTTGCCCCCCGGTGAGCTATCGGTGATCTATCGGTGAGCTCGCCCGTGGGCGCGTATCCTCGACGCGCCCCTGTTGGCTCGCATCCTCATTCATTTCGCCCTCGCCGTATCCTTCTCCTGCTGGTGATGCTCCTCCCGCAACTCCGCCTTCTCCTCTTCGTCCTCATACTGGCCCTCCTCCTCCTCCTCCTCCTCTTCCTCCCCCTCCTCCTTGTCCACCTCCTCCTCCCGTGTCCTGATCGTCGTCCTCGTCGTCGTTTTCGTATGTGTGTGTTCGTCTCCCATACCTCGTGCCTCTGCTTCCGCTTTGCCGCGAGGACGGCCATGGACGAGCGCGCCCCCGACAAGCTGTTGCAGGCCGCCCAGTCGCAGCTGCGGTCTCAGATCATCGCCGAGAAGACCACGACGCACAATAAGTTCGAGAGCGACTTCAGCGGTCAGTACAAGGCGCCGACGACCAGCAAGCGGAACGTCGCGGGTCTCGCGCAACTGAAGGACACGGTCGAGAACCACGATGGGAATTTCAGCATCCGCTCGGCGCTGGGTCGGGTCTTCAACAGGCAGCTGGACTACGACCCGAAGATGAAGGCCGACTGGGCCAACGCTGAGGACAGGGGGAAGTTCAAGATCGAGTGGGCGCGCAAGGAGTACAAGGGCAAGATCAAGTCCAGTCGCACGTTCGAGGAGACGCTGACCAACAGTTGGCTGGAGACGGGCGAGCTGTGCTCGTTCCTGAAGCTGTGCTACGAGGAGGGCGGCCCGCGCGGCCAGCGGGACCCAGACTGCATAGCGTCGTGCGTCAGGTATGCGCAACGCTGCATCGACTTAGGCTTCCCCTTCTGCCAAGTGGACGACATGAACGACGTCACAAAGTACATGCACTTCAAAGTGCGGTGGCAGCAGAACTTCGAGAAGGTATGGCAGGAGAGGCACGAGCAGACGTTGGAGGGCGAGCCCGAGCCCGAGGCGGTCGCCCAGCCCAAGCCGAAGCCGAAGCCGAAGCCGAGGGCGGCGGCGGACATCGCGATGAGCACGGCCCTGGGTCAGGCGACCAAGACTGTGACCGCCGCCAAGAGCGTCATCGCCTCGGCCGCGTCGGTGGAGACGCTGATCGCCGACGCGAAGAAGGATGACGATTGGATCTGGGCGAAATCCGAGAAGGTGCACGGCGTGCTCAAGCGGCTCATCACCACGCTGAACGAGGAGGTCAAGAGCGTCCAGCTGGCCCACCTGCTCATGACGGGAACCAGTGCTGCGAAGGTGACACACTCACCAACACCTACACACACTCTCAAAACTAGTGTCAATTCGGTGCTGTAAAGATAAGCTAGTCTTTAGCCATCGGTGAGCCATCGGTGAGCTAGCGATCCGCCACATGTGAGCTATCGGTGAGCCATAGGTGAGCCATCGGTGATCCATCGGTGACCGCATGCACTAGCATAGATAGTCAATCGGTTAACCATCGGTGAGCCATCGGTGAGCATAGTATTCTCCCCGGGACCAGCTGTCTTATATCCATGGCCATTCCTGCTCCGTATATACTCCCTCATCCCACCTCCTCGTCACCCTCGACCTAAACATAATCTCGAGCATTCCTCTGTGCCCTCCTAATCCTGCTCAGCTCCCCCTAGCATCGCGTCGCCGCTACCCCCCCCCCCGCCGCGCTGCCCAGATCAAGACGCGCTTGACGGGCCAGCAGATCGTGCAGCAGAACTGCGACATGCAGAAGATCAAGGATCTGCCCCGCGGGATGGGTTAGCGAGATACAGAGAGAGAGAGATGTAGAGAGTGAGAGAGAGAGAGAGAGAGAGAGAGAGAGAGAGAGAGAGAGAGCGAGAGGGACGGAGAAGGAGAGAGATATAGAGAGCGATATAGAGACAATGATGTGGTGGGAGCGGGATAAGGTTAAGAGGGGTATATATAGGAGATATAGCGAAATGAGAGAGAGAGGGAGAGAGAGAGAGAGAGAGAGAGAGAGAGAGAGGGATAGCTGGCGATAGGGATAGCTAGATAGAGATAGGGGGAGAGGGGTAACGATCCAGGCATATTATATACATAGATACCGATACATATAGTTTAAGAGATAAGGATAGCGCGAGAGCGAGAGAGGGCGAGCGAGATAGAGATGTAGATAGAGATACCGTGAGCGTGATAGAGGGGGGAGATGGGGTAGGGATCGAGGGACATATATATATATATATAGATAAAGAGCGATAACGAGAGGAGATGGAGACGTATAGAGAGAGATCACAATAGGGTTAACGCGATATATATATATACATATGTATATGGATATCATGATATATTGAGACATAGAGATATCGATATAGATAACTATGATTGGGTGACGGCGCACACATGTATATATATATAGATATGTATATATATGGGCACGCCTACATACATGTGCATATAACAATTTATGATGTGTGTACGTATGTAGTGCAACCTGATCCTTCACTCGTGCAACACCGTGATTCCCGCCTCTCCCGCGCCCGCAGGACGCGACTGACGAGCTGAACACGCACCTGGGCAACACCATCAACGCCAACGACTCCATGCGCAACTCTGGTGCTGCCGCCGCCCTTTCAACCAAGAGGTCGGTGAAGAAGAGGAGGGATGCGCGCGCTGATTGAGCGTTGGCCGCACGTGCTCTCGAGGCATCTTGGCTGGTTGAGTGCGTGCGACCGCGAGTCGCCCCAGCTGCGCGTGTGCGCGCGCGCGCAGCGCTATCCAGGGGAGGGGGGATAGGTCGGATGTCGGAGGTAGTCGTCTTGTGAGCCGAGTGCGCACCGACGACCCGCTGAGGCGTCAGGGGCAGGCACGGGGCTGCAACGCTGGCGAGCTGCGAGTCGCAGGGCTGGTGCGCAGGCAATTAAGGCGCAACCAGTGGTCGGCCAGCTGAGCTGTGTCACACACGTCCGCGCAGCAGTTTAGAGCTGTGCATTTCTAGCCTGTCGGGGAGATCGGGCGACGTGCTCGCGCCGCTGCGTGCGCAGCCGACGTCTTGCCATGATGTGTAACCACGAGCGCCTGGAGTGCCCTCGACCACCTGGGCGTATTACATCAAAACACCAAAGAACTGACAAAACCAGTGTGTGAGACCGGTGAGCCATCGGTGAGCCATCGGTGAGTCATCGGTGAGCCCGCTATCGGTGAGCCATCGGTGAGTTGGCGGTTTTACTCGATACATGGTCAATGTTATCGGTGAGTCATCGGTGAGTCATCGGTGAGCGACCGGTGAGCGACCGGTGAGCGACCGGTGAGCCATCGGTGAGCCCCTGGTGGGCCCCTGGGGAATACATGTTTTTTAGGGTAATTTGCGGAATTGCATGCGTGTTGTACGTGAGCTATGGGCGCGCGCAGCGTGCAGCGTGTGGCAGTAGCTATATGATATACGTGGACACAGTTGGCAAGGCGTGAATCGGCCCTCCACCGACGCACATATGGGATCTGCAGCGGGAGCATCAGGGCTGCAGCTCGAACTCTTGCGATCGAAACGTGGCCGACCTTTCCGCTCGCCCTCGCACTCTAATCAAACCCAAGTTTTCACATTGCTCGACCGACTCGCCCATGCCGCCCTCGTCCTTCTACCTCTTTCCCTCAGCGTCCTCATCCCCCCCTAATCTCTCTCGCCTCATTCCCGTCTCCCCGCCGTGGCTGGCATGGTGCCTCATCGCTGAAGATGGCCAGGGTGGCCCTATAGGGGCGGCAGCGGCTGCGGGCCGCGCGAGAGGCAGTGTACGTGACTAGGATTGTACGATGAGGAGGAACACGAGGAGGAGGAGGAGGAGGAGGAAGAGGAGGAGTAGGAGGAGGAGGAGGAGGATGAGGAGGAGACGAGCGTAGGATATCATAAGATCCAGCCACGCCTACTGGCTAAACACATCTAAGCAACAACACTCGGCATCGTGGGTAAGCGGGGACGTGCCTGGCCCAACGGGCTCAGCTTGGCCGCTAAAACGATGAGGGTGATGATGCTGATGGCGATGATGAAGAGGAGAAGGATGAGGAGAAGGATGAGCATGATGTGTAATAATCGAATGATGAATAGGGTTGAGCTGGTCATAAGTACGGTTGCGTTGCGTATTTGCGTTTGATATGTTGGATGATGCTGATGATACGCGGGATGGGGCAACTAGGAGCCTCATCATTGTCGATGGTCATGTATACCCATTCTGGGGGGGACACAGCGTGAACGTGTGACAACATATATGCTCGTGTAATTCACATTTCGGGTTTCCAGGGCCCCCTCTACGCGTGTGTCACGCGCGCGAGTCTGCGTTGGGCATCGATCCCCCTATCCCTGTTGCAATGAGCCGTTGCCATTGATAGCTGTGAGGGTATCAGGGGGTGGGGTTCTCGCATGTCAGGCAAGAGGCGGCGTGCGGAGTTGCCCCCAGTGCCCGACGGCGCTGCCGCTCTCTCTCGGGCCGAAGCTGGGGAGCAGCTCACCCGAGAATTGAAGCACCTGTACAGCACTGGCGTGCTATCAGCAAAGTCGTTTTGCGAGTTGGCTTTTCTTGCTAGCGCTGCTGGTGCAGCGGGTGATTGTTCTACGTGGGGCGTGCGGCCAAGTGATTCGGGAAGTAGCGGGCGGTTTCAGAAACATGTCGAGAGAGTCCTGTATGCTAAAGGCGTGCGTGGCGTCGAGCCCATTCCAGTGCATATCCCTTTGCAGTCGCGGGAGACGGGCAGGCGAGCGTGGACTAGCATGTTGGTGCGACCCCTCCACGAACTATTGCATGCCGAGGTTGCTGGCAAGTCGGATGATATGCGGCGGGCTCTGGGCGATCGTTCGTGGCCGCGGGTGCATCGTGAACGTCATGTGTATCTAGATTCGGACCCAGGTGAGTTAGTGGTGCCCGTCGCAGTGTTCATGGATTCCGCTCAATACGGCGGAGCCGCTGGAGCGGGGCGACAAAAAATCAATCCTCGCAATTTCCCTGATAAGCTTGATCACGGGGGTCCGACACATAGGGCTGGAATTCAGAAAACATCTTGTATGCAAGTGTGGGTGTCGAGGCTTTTGTAGTTACCAGCGGCTGTTTCGCGTTCTTCGGTGGAGCCTCGACGCCCTGGAGTCTGGGAGGTTCCCTGCGAAGCCATGGGATCAGGGGGGCTGGCCAACGGGGTCGGAGCGGTGCGCTGGCGTAACCGACGCGCCCATGGGGTTCAAAGGTGCGCTGTGCTACCTGATGGCGGACTGGGAGGGTGTATCCCAGTTTTTCTCCCTCCCCTCGTGGAGCCACAAGCGCCACCCGTGCCCGTTGTGTTCCGCATCGTCTGCGACGATGTTCCAATTCAGGATCCGTTTTTTTGTTTGCGTTTACGCCCCTGCTGCATTATGAGATACCCCATGGGGGGAGGAGGGCGATGAGGCGGAGGAGGAGGAGGAGGAGGAGAGGGATGAGGAGGAGAAGGAGGAGGAGGAGAAGGAGGAGGAGGAGGAGGGACACGATGACGATGACGATGACGCGGAGGGTGGGCGAGGAGGCCGACTGATGAGGATGATGAGGGGGATGATGATGACGATGGGGCCGATGAGGAAGAGGGGGATGATGAGAATGAGGAGGAGGAGAAGGATGATGATACTCATGAGCCTGATGGGGGGAAATAACGGCACGACGACAGACCGATGGCGATCACTCCTTGGGAACGGGGGTGAACGGGACTGGTGATATCATCGGATGGGCGCACGCTGAGCGCGCGCCCCTCGCTGCGGGCTCGGCCCATATGGTTCCACGGGGATGTGGGCGGTGAGGATGAGGACGGGGATGGGGCGATGGATGCAGTGCTTTTGCGTCCGTGCAAGCGCGCGTGCAAATGTGCATGCATCTCCAGCCTACTCGGGGCCCTTGAGCTGCCGTGGGTCGACCATGGACCCGATGAGCATGCGTCCGCCACAGATGCAGCCGAAGTGATCGTGCATGTTGCCACGGAGGCAGAGCGTGCGCATCTTGTACATCATGCTGGATTTTATTTCGACGAACGAAAAAAAACATGGCCGTGGATTGACAGTGTCGTGCCCCGTTGGCGCCCTCAACCCGTTAAGCAGCCCCCTCGAGAAAGGCGACGAGTTGCACCCGCAGCCATCGTTGCCCGACGTGTTTGAATACGCTGTGTTCAAGATTCCATGTACTCTTAGGTTCTGGCGGCCTTCGCTGGCCACGCTCACTAATCATAGGAATGGCGTTTTTTTTCTGGCGTATGTGGCATCAACGTAGCACAGCATTACGCAGTTGATTTCTTGCACACCG